ATTTATGTAATGTGATGATGGATCTGCATGCAACCTAATTTATCTCCCGCCTGTTCTTGGCGGCGTATTTTGCCCTTTGTACTATAAATTCTATTAACCAGTTTTGTTTAACTTTGATATTACCACTTGTTATTACTGTGTTGTACTTACTGGATCCTAATGAGTTCGAATTCTGACCAAATCACTGGATTTTTCCGTTGGCTTCATTCATTCTTAAGGAAAAGTAGCTAACGTCACATTATCATTTTTCAGGAATCGGAAAAGATCATTGAAGAAGAAATCGAGGATATGGTTTCTGGAAGGGATCTCGAAGAAATTGAAAACCAATTGTGAGTCGTCTCAATTTATATTCAACATCGATCACTTCCTTTATCCCTTTATTTAGACTGATGATCATGCATACAGCTTGATATAATCTTTTTAAACCTATGCCCAACCTGATTTATGATGCAACCCATGGGCTAAGGATTGGTTCTGAGGCTTCTATTATGGTATGCCGCGTCTGCGTTTAAATATTCCTCATTTTCCTGATCCAGACCAACGATGATCTCTTGGAGACCTTACGTCCTAAATGCTTTCCATTTATTTGTTTCTTAAACTCCGTGTTAATCGTTTAGGACCTCTCCAGTCCTTGTCTTTTAGTCGCATCGATCACCCGGTCTTGCCTAACTTAAACCTAGACCCTTAGTGTTAAAAGTTTGTTCTAGTTGTAGTGAGATTGATTTCGCCAATTAAGGAGTAAGTTTTTTCTGTAGTGGTGGGTAATGCGATCTAATTATGGCGAGGGGGTATTTTTCGCCAATATCCTCTACTCCTATCCAATTTTTCAACTTATTTCAATAGTGGCGCCAGGTCTCCAGGGTGAATTTAAACATGTCAGCCAAGTTCCTTTATTATCCATTCAATTCAACGCAACCGAGGCTGGGTACCAACCAAGTTAGTACTAACTTGTTGTCAGGGAACTGAATCTCATGTACTATCGTTCTGTTGGCAAGTATTCAATTTAGAAAATACGACGCACTGCTACGTCTCATTGTGAATTTCCAACTCTCTAGGCAAGAGTACTGCGCTGCAGGCCTTTTCTTCCACATATCTCTTGAGGATTCCGGTTATTATAATACATATACCAATGGAACCCTTCTCTTGCATAAATCAGAGGTCTATTCTCTCGAAAATACAAAGGTTATACTAGGTCTTATCAATATATAATCTCGGCACATCAACCACTAAGTCACATTACTATTAGTGCCCTTGGATCACAGGGCAAGGCCATGTGAAATGCAATGGAAACGTTATGTCTACTCATATCATTATGAGGAAATTCAACTAGCAGCCCTTCCTTACCTTAAGCTCTTTAAGCATTGATAGCTGCTATTTCTTATAGACGTTTATAGTACACTTAATTTACTGTATTTCGAATCACCAAGCCAGTCTCGACTTGCATTCGTTAATTGGCATCTACCTGGCCATTCACGTGCCTCCTTCTTAGCAGGCTTTCAATTAGCAAACAAGTAGTAAATGCCAGTGGTCAATAAACTCTTGAAGCCAGGCATCTGCACACGTGTGTTATAATCCCCAAACCAGGATTTCTCTTGCCCTTACTCTAAGCTTTCTTTAATTATTTCATTGCGTCTTTTCAGAAACAAATGGCGTCGAATCGAACAACTAGAGATAGCGAAGGAGGAAATTGATAAGAAAATCAAGTCAAAGGCCATTGCCAACCAGAAAATTTCGGAAATAGTGAAAAAAGAAGATATTTATCTCAGCGACGTTGACTCTGGATCGGATCTCGACGATCTAGAGGACTTTCGAAGGAAGACAACTAATAAACGATAGAATTGTGTTCAAAATGCTATTTTTATGTGTAAATAAATTTAAACTATTGTATACAATACGCAAGACCGACAATCCATCAATGCATTGGTCCTTTTGTGTATATTTACTTATCGTTAGAGGAAAGTTGGGCTGAATTATTCAGAAAATCAAAGTGACCCATAAGGGTAATAAAAAATAAGCACGAGTGTGGGTTTTGAAAAGAAGATCTGCGGCCGGACTTTGGCACGGTTTCCTCAACGTGACAATTTTGAGTTTATATTTTTATAGTGTATGAACAGAAGTAGATGCGTCGAAGGACCGGACCGTGCAGGTAATCTTGAAACGTAAGCAATTTATAATTCACAGTTACATTTTACATTGGCACCGGTGTTCAGTTTGAATGTAGGAATGAAAAATGGGATAAACTGGGGATCGTAAGTGACTTAAAAGCTTGCAATCCAAGCTTAAGCGATCACGGATTCGAAAGACAGTTATGGAGTCAATCGAAAAAGTGGTTGCTGAGTGTGCATGGTGTGGGAAAGAGAATCAGGGGCCAGGATGTCTGCTTCTAGCGGTGCTTGATGTCTGCTTGCAGAGCTGCTAAGGATGGGCTTGGGGGGGTTCGAAGACTACGTGTGTAGGTGTGCTCAAGCAGGTTAGAGAAGTGGTCGGAATAAGCTGCTTGGTCAAGGCATTCTGTGAGCTTCAGAAAGAGGCCTCCGTTGGCAGAGAAACTTTTCAATAGATCGGCGTCCCGAATCCGCCATCCCGGGTCCTCGGCAGTTATCATCAGAGTCCCTGACTATATCGTGCGGTCAAACATGGGAACGTGTGTGTTTGGGGATCGATGTGGATTTTACAACTTAGGCGTTAGAATTCACTTATGTTATCCCTTTCTATACTAAATGTCAAAACCAAAGAAACTAGACAACAGTGCCTCAATAGATTTTAAAGTCAAAAATAGCAGGTGTATTGGGTGTTCACCCTATTTCGCTTGGTGTCATGAAAGACTAGTATTTTTATTTTCCGGCAATTGTATGAGTTACTCTCATCCAGGGTGGATTTCAGTTTCGTCTTCGCCTAGGTCTTATCAATATATAATATCGACACATCAACCACTACGTCACATTACTATTAGTGCCCTTGGGTCACAGGGCAAGGCTGTGTGAAATGCAGTGGAAACGTTATGTCTACTCATATTATTGTGAGGAAATTCAACTACCAGCCCTTCACCACCTTAAACGAAATAGGGTGAATATATCTCATAATTCTGGTGTAGTGGTAGTCTCTATAAGGTCAAGAGGCATAAATAGTCAAATAATAAACTAATGTACATGAATAGCTTTAAAGTATATCATATTCTAAAGCGTGATTCAAACTGTATCTTGGAATGACTGCGGTTGAACCTAGGCAGGCCTTCGTTCTCAAATAGCCTTGTCATCTGGTCCTATCTGGAATTGGATGGGTACCCTTCGCAAAAAGAACAGCGGATTAAAGTCAGGAACATAAATGAAACTCATTTAATAATAAAAGTATATCGGTGATGGGTCGATGTTTAAGGCCCGTTTCGGTCAATCATCGTCATATCGATTAACCTCGTTACAGGACAATACATCTAGCTGATAGCTTCACCATGATGTATTCATGACTTGAACATATGAGACTCTTCAATACATCTACATGATTGATCACGTCATGGATGCGGCATCCACCTTCTGCCTGAAGAGGTCATCTGCTCCCTCAAGCTAAGATTTTGCATCTGGTCTTTAATCTCCTCCATTAAACTCTGACTTTACGCGAGGCTCTGTTATACGCAAGATTTCTCGATTATAACTCACTCTGATCCATACAAGTTACTTTGTGACCCGGTGAACTTTATATGATCAGATTGTGAAGTCATATCATTGCACGTTGCTCAGCCTATCTTTGTAGTCAGACCACAAAAAAGACATCACTGATGTTCCACTCAAGATTAACTGAAGATAAAGCAATGAATGAAATTTTGTGCTTGAGTCCCACAAATGTGTTTTCACTTAAGCTGAACTACAGTTTCGACCTTGAGCTCGGGACTCTAATCCGCATATCTTCGATAAAGGACTCTCTTATTTCCTAGCAAGTGAATGCCACCTTCACGTTGACAAACAAAATAATGCACTCAGTCTGTGAATAAAGAATCTAAAGGCATACAAATGTTGAGATCGAAATTAATTTTAGTAAAAGTGTGACAAACCGAAAGAGTCTTCTAAAAGCAAAATAGTTGAAAAATCTAGTCTTACAAATAAACCAAGGGAAGTGATAATTAATGTTAAAAGTAATTTTGATTAATAGTTCTAGTGAGAGCCAATATTTTCTGGCTGGGCGTAACCTCCCAACAGAATAGTGATTCAAGGAGAGGATTAATTTCTGCGAAGAATGCATATATCGCAATGATATTCAGGTTATGGAGAAAGGCAAGATTACCAAACGACAATTTTACGGTACCGGATCTAAGAGATGTCGAATCCTGCGGAGTCGTCGGAGAGACGGACAGAAGTCAATTGCCAAAGTAATTGTATAAGCATCGCATCGGCCTCGCACCCTTTCGATCATTGTCTCTTCATAGGCTACAAAATATAGTGAAAAGAACGAGGTAAAACCAGACCACGACCAAACTGTTAAATGTTGGCTTTTTCTAAATCAAAAGTAAAATTGAGGTCACTCCGCACAAATAATTCAGATAAGCAAATGATCGCTAATATAAAAATAGTTGACTCCTAAGAAACTCTTTGGTGTCAGCAGCACTTCTGAGCCTAGGACAAGCTATTTCTTTTTATCATC